TCTTTGGACACTTTCCCGACACGTGTCCGACACTCTTTAAAACGTGTCCTATTTTTTAAAGACCCGGACACTCTTTGGACACTTGGAGAATACATGTGTATCTCTTAAACACACGTGTCTATCAATTAGACACATGTGAAACCAATTATAAGTTTGAACAAAACAACTTAAGATACAATTATAAAACAAAAATCATATAAATTCATAAGAATTATTGTCATATTTAATATTTTTATTATCTTTGAATGATATATTCATATATATAACATATAATAAATATATAAAATTATATATTTCATGCGTGTCCCCCGCGTGTCGTGTCCTGCATTTTTTGAAAATTAGCGTGTCGGCGTGTCCGTGTCGTATCCGTGTCGTGTCACGTGTCCGTGTCCATGCTTCTTAGGTGTTAAGTGACTTGCTTGTGTATGATTCCTTTTCCAATTTGGAATGGACATACGAGAGTTTGAATTCCGCATCATTTATGATAGGGGATAATGCTTATCCCTAAGAGTCAATCTTAGAGACACGCTCAACCATGATGCGTCCAATGTTTTAAAAAGCTCCAGGCACACCGAGGCAATAAAATCTCCTATAGCCTAAGCGTGTGGCGTGAGGTGAGGTGTGCGCCTCCCTTTAGAGGGAGGTGCAAGTTGAGAAGATGAGCAAAATTTTAAAATAGGCAACGTTTTCAACATAAACAAATATATATAGAATTCTAAAAATCATAAAGCAAGTTTCACTATTTCAAGTAATCTTTAAACACAACATTCAATCTTCTAAAAACCAGAAATATAATATCCAACGGAAGATATAAAGTATCACCTTCACATCTAACAAAAACCTCAAATTTTAAGATTATCCAACAGAAAAAGGCAATTAGAAAAAACAAAGGAAAATAATATGAAGGTTAATAACAAGCCATTTCTTGCATGCACAAGCATAGTTGAGAAGAGAGAACACAACAAAAGAAAGAAAAAAGAGGACCCAGTGAAGAAGAAGAGAAGAAGAGAACCCAGCGATGAAAAGAAGAAAACCTAGCGAAGAGGAAGAAGAGAAGAAGAACCTGAAGAAGCTGATGTCTTTTCATTTTTTGATCAATTTTTTTAATCGTTCCCCACCTAGTTTTTTTTTGTTTTGTTTTGTTTTTTTGTTTTTGTTTATCACTTTTTGATCTCTTTTCAACACATTCAGTCATCTTATATTGAAGGGTTTTAATTCCCTGTGGGTAGGCCTATAAATGGATTAGATTCGGATCAGATCTGTCAAAATCTGGATCCGAATCCGATCCGATTAAGGCAAACCCCGATTCCTATCTGAATCTGTTTAGCTCATATCCGATTATAGTTCATCTGAATCCGAATTTGATAATTTTCGATAATCTGATCCGATCCGATCCGTTCCATTTATTGTTGAGCTACAATTTTATATAATTTGATTTTTTTTTTCTTTCATTTTGTGTTTTCTTTATTCAAATTGATAATAATCGGATCAGATTTTTACATATTCAATCTGTTTAATTAATGGATTAAACGGATTATCGGATTATTGGATTGATAGATCGGATTTTTTGTAAATGGATTCGGATTTTCGAATTGGATTTGGGTTGGATTTGGATTACATCCGATCCATTGACAGCCCTACCTGTGGGTATGCACACAGAAATATCATTTAATCAATAGTTGGAGTAAAAAAATACATAAAACCCATGAAGCCCATGCCTCGCGCATTGCAATAAAGCCCTCACCTCAGTGCCTAAGCTGTGCCTTGCACATGTCTCCTCGCCTCGCTTCAACCTGTTCGAAGCGCAGGGCTGCACCTCATTGCGCCTTGCGCTTAGGCACGTGTGTAAGTGCGCTTTGTAAAACACTGGGTGTGGTGTTTGATGAAAAATTCATGCTTCATGGGAGGGTACAACTTGATGATGTAGACAGATGCCGGGGAATCAGTAAGCATGTGGATCTTTAGTGCGAGACTTTTGATAAAGTGCATGATGATACTTCTGATTAGCCTATTGAGGAGAATGCTCAACAGCCTAATGACGAGGAAAATGCACTATAGGAACAACAACACAACCTTACAAGAGACGGGATCAGAAGGAACATTCGACCATATCAGAAATTTGGTTATGCAGACAGTTACTTATGTGTTGTCAGTGGCAAAAACAATTGAGTTTCGTGAGGCTGTCATAGGTCATGAGTTTGCATAATGAATTGTTGATGAGTTAAGGAGACTCATTCTCTTCACAAGAATCATACATAGGAGTTAATAAAACTGCAAAAAGGTAGGAGGATTGTTGGATGCAAATGGGTCTTCAAGTGAAAAGAAGGAATTCTAGGAGCATAAAATGCAAGGTATAAGGCTCGATTAGTTGCAAAGGGCTATAGCTAGAAACTGGGTGGAGACTTCAATGAGGTTGTTGGATCACCATAGTTTTAAGTTGTTTGGAAATAAGCTTGACAATGAATATCAAGCTCCCCAACACCCTTCCTCACATCCAACCCCATCTTGCATGTGGAGATGCAAACATCCACATAGAGAAATGAAATGCAAATGAAGAGATTAAACCAAAGATCTCTCTTAACCTGAGATATGATACCATGTTAGATCACCAATTGCCCCTAAAGCTAAAGTCGTTAGGAAGGGGCGCTAACAATGCTTATCAAGCTCTTCAACACTGGTATTCTCACTGGTTGTGAAACATAGCTCTTGTGTGTGTTGTTTTTCATTGTTCAAGTTTTGACTTGGAGGTTGATGTTAAGACTACTTTCCTATATTGTGAGCTTGGGGAGTAAATTTACATGCATTAGCTAGAGGTATTTGTCCTTTTAGGTAAGGAAGAACATGTTTGTTGAGAAAATCATTGTATTACCTACAACAGTCTTGTAGCAGTTTGATAAATTCATGGTGAGTTATAGATACTCTAGGAGTGAGCGTGACAATTGAGGAAATCTGTAAGATGTACTTCTCCTTGGGTTGACAACTCGGGAATGTTTGAATGTAACCAAAGGATACTCAAATGCTGGGTATTTTGCATTATGAAGCATTCAAACACCTTCTAAGGATAATGTTTCTTAGACAAGTATAACTTGACCACTCTCGTGTCCCTGCGAATCTCCATACCTAAAATTTTCTTTGTTGCACCCAAGTCATTCATCTCAATTTCACCATTGAGTTAACTTCTCAATATGTTGATTTCAGACATGTTCATCATAGCAATAAGCATGACGTCAAACATATAGCAAGTATACAAAAGAAATATCTAAGAGTCTCGAGCTTTATGTATGAGATGGTATGTACTTGTCTTGATATTTTACTTCTTGTTAGTGTTGTGAGTAGGCTTATGGGATTCTAGGCAAAGCACACTGGTAGGCTATGAATTGGATGTTTTGGATTTGAGGGGCATGCAGATGTTGGATTGATGTTTTTAGAGGTACTGATATTGATGGTTCTGTTGTTGGATTTGTGGATTCTGATATTGTTGGTGATTGTGATAGGAGATCTGTGACAGGTTAGGTCTCAGTTCTCTCAAGTTGTAACATTAATTGGAAGGCTACTTTAGATGCCACAGCTATCTTGTCCAGTACTGAGGCAGAATACCAGGCAATGACTGCAGCTGTGAAGGGGGCATTATGGTTGAGAGTTTTTCTTAGTGAGCTAGGTCTTGAGTAGGGTTAGACTAGCATACATTGTGATAGTCAGAGTGCTATACATTTGACAAAAAATCAAAAGTATTATGAGAGGGTCAAGCATATTGATGTGAGGCATAATTTCCATTCAGGATATCATGTCTTAGAGCATCTACAATCCTTAACCTTTTTTCTTGGTCAAATTTAAATTTGATGAGTAAGTGTTGAAAAATCATCTCCAATTCTTTCATCAAATATTCATCAAATCAAGAGAAACATTTTTTCATCAAACTGAGAGTTCATCAAATCCTTCATCACATTTGAATTTGATGAAAATTTAAAAAGATAAAACATTGGAGATGATTTTTTTTTTCCTCATCAAATTTGATGAGAAGGGAAATTCAGGAGAAGAGGGGAATTTTTAAAAAGATTTTGATGAAAATTTGATATAAGGGTTGGAGTAGTTCATATAAAATCCAACTTTTTACTCAAATTTGGAATCAAATTAGATGAAAAAAAGTAGTAAAGGGTTGGAGATGCTCTTATAGACAAAGGTCGAGAAGGGAGAAAACCTGGGGAATTGTTGATTGCGTCTCGAATTCAACTTATATTGTGCTCATTACTCTTCGATGACCCGCATGACCCACCAAATGGGTAAATCATGATAATGTTTTTGTTGATATCAAATCCACTCCTACCAATGCTATTGTGGTGAGACTAATATTGGATACTTGCCTATTATTTTAAGGGAATTGTTTTTTTTTCTATTAGTGGTATGTGTTTTGTTGTGCATTAATTATATGAATTTGGGTGTTGTGTTAGGCACCCTGCTCAGAGCACTTTGGTTGGCTGCCATCTACATGACCGAAACAATTTGATAGGCAATATGCTTTAAAGGTTACCATTTGCTGAAATTTTGCATAGGATCTAAAAAATTGTTCTTGTTCTGAAATTTTGCTTTATTGAAATGTATGTTGAAAAGAAAACTTGAAATTTAGTAGCAAGTTAGAGTTGTGGGCATTTGTAACGGCCTAATATTTGGTGTACTTAAATTGTTTAGAACTTATTTCAACTAAATGCATATCATATAATTCAAATGGGGGTTAAGAATAATTTCATATGCTAAATTATTTAACGTTGCGCAGTGTGAAGGATATTTTTGCAGGGTTCTTGACTTTGTTTAGTTATTATAGGGGCTCCATGGGTTGGGAGGAAGAATGGGAACTAGAATAATTGATCCACAACCTTTGATATTTGACCATGCGGCTCAGTTCTTTACCGTCAGTGATCCTAATTTCATATGCTAAATTATTTAACGTTGCGCAGTGTGAAGGATATTTTTGCAGGGTTCTTGACTTTGTTTAGTTATTATAGGGGCTCCATGGGTTGGGAGGAAGAATGGGAACTAGAATAATTGATCCACAACCTTTGATATTTGACCATGCGGCTCAGTTCTTTACCGTCAGTGATCCTCAATTTGCTAAGTTGGTCGATGGATGGTCTGAGAAAGGTCAGGTTCAACAGTGGGAGGGTACAATTGGAGAGCTTGAAGTGGGTGGTCGGTTTGTTCCACTTCCTTCTTCTCCCCCAAGATATATAGGTGTTAATGGGATGCGCCCCCTTGCAGATTCTATACTGTCTCAGGTGATTACTCTTGCTTTTGTTATATATTCTTATTTATCACTATATTATTTTGTTTGTGGTGTTAGAGAACCACTAATCCCAAAAACTTAAGATATTCGGAAATGGGCCCAAATAAAGTATATCAAGCTTTTCAACATCCTTCCTCATGTGCAACTCAACCTTGCATGTGGAGATGCAAATATTCAAACATGTAGAGAACATTATGCAAATAGGGAAACAAATGCACACAAAGAGACTTGAACCGAAGACTTTTCCTAACCAGAGTTCTAATAACAAGGAGCAAAATTTTGTTACGTTGGCCGAAACATTTCTGTATCCTAAGAAACTGACACAAAATATTATTGACAAACCAAAATCCTAGTGTTTCTACCGAAACATACTGAAATGTGCCAAAACTCACTAATACTCTATGAAACATTTCAAAATAATGAGTTGTTTCAATACTTAACCAAACCAAACCAAACCAAGCCTTAAGTCCCATCAGTTGTTTCAATACTTATTAGGAAATATTTAACAAGATCTACTTTTGCTACCCATTTTTTGTTTTTAAAAAAATATTTGAAACAAAGAAAAATCTTATTTTTTTTAGAGAATTTGTGGAAGTAGAAAGTAGAAAATGAGAAATAAAGAGTTGAAGAGAAATGGAATGGTTAAGTCACTTATTTTCTTTCTTAGTTTTTTAGATACACATATTTTTATCAATACCATCATTGTTTCCTTTTTTTCTCTTCCATCCTTCTTATATATTGACACTAAAATACTCTTCCTCCACACCTCTGGCATTTTCCTAGTCAACAAAATCTTGCTAAAAAACCTAGTCAACCAAACAACCCCCTTCTTACCCAAACATTCAATAGGTATATCATCAGGTCTTAAAGCCTTATTCAATTTTATATGCAAACTCTACTTCAAAGTCCCTAATTTTACGCTAGAACTTATAGTCTCGGTTTTCCTTATTGTTGCCTACTTCCTCCCCTTTTGACCTACCTCCATGTTCCTCATTTAACAACTTCTCAAAATAGTTCTTCCACCTCTCTTTAATCTCTTCATCCTTCATCAACACTTTAAAGTCCTCACCCTTGATGCACTTAACTTGATTAAAATTTCTTGTTTTCGTTTCTCTTATTTTGGCAAGTTTGCATATCCTCTTCTCTCATTCCTTACTATCTAGTCTAGTGTATAGGTCATCATAGGCTTTGGATTTATGCTTGGTAGGTTAACAACGGAAGCGATCTATCTTTTGAGGAGAGTAATAGCAAAGTATAGAGAAAAGAAAAGATATATTCATATGGTTTTTATCGATCTTGAGAAAGCATATGATAGAGTGCCTCAAGATATAATCTGGTGGATGTTAGAGAAGAAAGGGATGACAAAAGGTTATATTGATGTGATTCGGGATATGTATGAAGGTGTGGTAACCACTATTAGATTGCCTACCCGAGAGATGAGTGAATTTTCAATTTTTTTAGGGTTATACCAAGGATCAACTTTAAGTCTTTATCTTTTTGCTTTAGTTATGGATGAGTTGACGCGCGATATTGAGGATGATGTGCCATGGTATATGCTTTTTGCAGATGATATTGTGTTAATGGATGAGACTAGAAAATGAGTTAATACTAATTTAAAGAAAAGCACTTGAAGCTAAAGGATTTAGGATAAGCAGAATTAGGACAGAGTATATGGAGTGTAATTTTAGTAACAGTCACAATGGAAGCAGAGAAGTGAAGATTGAGAACCAAGAATTACCTAAGAGTGAACATTTTCGTTATTTAGGATCTATTATCACAACGACTGGGGAGATTGGAGCGGATGTGGTCTACAGAATTAAGGCGGGGTGGCTTAAGTGGAGGAGTACATCTGGAGCATTATGCGATAAACGAGTACCCATTAGACTAAAAGGGAAATTATATAGAATGGCTATTAGACCGGCGATATTGTATGTGACGGAATGTTGGACAACTAAGAAACATGTGGAGAAGATGAGTATTGTTGAGATGAGAATGCTAAGGTGGATGTGTGGCAAGATTAGGAAAGACAAAGTTAGGAATGAGTTTATTTGAGAATGGGTAGGAGTAGTATCGATAGAAGATAAGTTGAGAGAGAATAGATTGAGATGGTTTGATCATATACAACGAAGACCAACAATGGCAGTAGTGAAGAGATGCGATACAGTGACGGTAGGTGGTAGTGTTAGGGGAAGGGTAAACCTAGATTGATGTGGACCAGTGTAGTAAATAGAGATATGAATCTCCTTAATTTGACTAACGAAATGGTCTTGGATAGAGTCGAGTAGAAAAGAAGGATTCATGTAGCCGACCCCATTTGATGAGATTTAAGGCTTGGTTTGGTATCCTATGATTGCAAATCCCTTTCACTAGTTAACCCTTTGAAACTTTTGTTATAAACTTCTTATATTCATTGACCTTAGGATATGATACATGGATACGTATCAGGATGTGACAACACCATTTGTAATAAAGTTTAGCTTTGGATTTCTTAGTAATCCAAGGTTTTTTTTTTTTTTGATCAACAACAAATGATTTGATTGATAAATCAAAAAAGGAACGAGGATAAGGCATTCTCTTATAGAAAGAAAATGAAAGTAAGAAATACATAACCCAAACAAAGACTATCTCAAGCAAAAATCTACATGTCACACACTGACAACCAATCTCTAGCTGACAAAAATAGTGGAACCCCCTTAAAGAGAGAATTCACCGAAGCCCAAAAGGAAGTTATGGGACAAACTTTATCCCACAACTAGTCCACTTCCTGAGATTTATCTTCGAACAACCGCACATTTCTTTCCAACCATAGAATCCAAAAAGTTGAAAAAACGGCACAAGACAATAGCACTTTGGCCCTCTTCGAACCTCCCATAGCACGAAAGTCAATAATTAGTAGCATTTGTGCACTACCTTTGGTGCCACCCACATAACATTCTGCAAAAGAAACAATCCGTGCCATAGACTCAAAGCAAATGGACAGTGCAAAAATAAATGATCCAAGGATTCACCATTTTCCCAACACACAATGCACCACTGAAGATTTAGAAAATGATTAGGTCTTTTTTTGCAATGTATCATTTGTCAAGATGCCTCCATAAATCAAGGTCCACATAATTGCTTTCACCTTCAGAGGAACACAAGCTTTTCAAATTCTTAGCAAAAGGGAAACTGAGGAACATGAGAAATATCAATGATTTTATCAAAAAAGAACTTATAAGAAAAGATACCCGATGAATGAAGAGCCCAAACTCACTTATCCTCCAAAAGAGGATCCAAAGAAAGATGATCAAGTCTTGACAACAAAGAAATCAACTGTGTAGCCTCCCTATCATTAAGATTCCTAGAAAAATTGAAATTTCAAGAAATTAGTGCCAAAAGTAAATCAGCCATTATGAGACCGAGCCACACTATATAAATGTGAAAAATTCGAAGCAAAGGAAGTGTGGCCCATCCAAACATTCTCCTAGAAGTGAACAAGCTCCCCATTACCCACCCTCACTGACAGATAACGAGACCAAGATCTATAGATTTGAGAAACTGATTTCCAAGGAACACAACAGTTACCCCTCATAATCACCTATGAATCGCTACCATTATCTTGAGTACCATACTTGCTTCTAATAACAGAATGCCATAGTGAATCACTCTCAATTGGAAATCTCCATAATCATTTGCCAAGAAGAGCCATGTTCCTACCACAATGTTACCAATGGCCAAATGTTCATTTATCAACTCCTAAAATCAGTTGATATCCGAATGGAAAACATTGTGAACCAAGAATTTTGTGGTGTATGAATTTATGTTACTAGAAAACGCTAATACCCTAGCGAATAACATATTGGTATGCATGTTTCGAAATATGGTACACTTCTGTTCTAAAACGGTAAATTTAGTGATTCAAAACGATCCAAAGGGTTTTTTTTGTTTTTATTTTTATTTTTTTTCAATATATGTCCTTAAATGTTACTTTAGGAGGAAAAAAATCAAATATAATGAACTATAATCTAAGGTGAGTTAAGTTTTAACGAGACAAAAATATCAACAAATGGGTCACAATGCTCATAGAAAATATTACATTTTATTGGATGTCTAATAGTTAAAAAAAAAAATTACTCTAGAATTACCTTAAGTTCTTAAGTTTAATATATATACAAGTCTACCCCATCGTACCACATTTTAGAGCATGTGGCGTACTATGTTTCCGTTTCCGTTTCCGTTTTCGTTTTCGTTTCACATACCAGAATGATCCATTTTCCAGGTAACATAGGTATGAATAGAACCTCCCTAGCTTTGTTTACCTATTGTCTAATTAATTTGAAGTAGATGAAACTTAGCTATTTTGTAGTTTATTTGGCTTCTTATTGATCTGATGATCTCTTTTCATTTTTAGGTTTAACTGAAATTTAATATGTGGTGTAGACTCGTATGATTGATGTAGTTCGACCTTGCTGGATCAGCAAACTTGAGCCATGTAATGGGATGTGGCACTTGAGTGAAAATGGTAAACCTCGCGGGCAGTTTGATGCCCTTGTCATTGCACATAATGGTGAGTTTTTTGCTTCAATCTTATATATTACAATTTATTTTTGTTGTTGATATTTGTATAGATCTTATTTTGTGTGATGCTTTCTTAAGTTTTTCAAGAGCATGACACTTTCATGATAGGTAGAGTGATTTTCAAGTTAAGATAATAGAAAATGTTCAAATAATAATGAAGAATATACATGAATTGAAATTATTAGAAATAAGTAGAAATTGATTTTATCTCTTCTGAACACATAAGAAATTTGACAAAAATATGATGCATCATAAAATTCCAGAAGTTCATCACATTTGATGGGCCGAGTTAGGGGGTTTGGAGATTCCGATCAAGGAGATTACCATGGTTAAGGAGTTAGGCTATCAAATTGTTAATCTAGCAACGGTGAATGGTTCTAAGAAAAAGAGGTCTTGTGATGGTGATAAAGTAGAACTCAAAGGCACGAGAGGTGGACGAAGGAGGCGCATGCCGTTCACTGGCTTGGGGTTCATGATTGTGAGTCCCCGAGGTTTGCAAGTGGTGGGACATATGGCCTTGGGTGAGAAAATGATTCAGTCCTCTTTGGGAGGTGGAAGACGGTTTGGAAAAGAGGAATTTGATTTAGGGCTTGCCACGTGATCCAGAAGGTATGGTGCATAACTTAAGAGGTCCTGCGTTGGGTCTTGCTCATGAGTCGGGTCAGAGCAAGAATGGAGGTTGGAAGTTGATTTTCTCTTGGTCTTGTGAAGAGGAGAGGGCCAAGTATGGGCCCAAATGCTTGGGCACAGTCCAAGAGGTGATTCTAACAGATTGCTAGTTGGGTCTAGTTCTTTCTGTTTAGCATTGATTAATAAGGGGTCTTCTACTGAGCCATTGGATTTCAATTTCTCTACTGATAAGAAGGCTGATCACGCTAGGACAATGATAGTTTCAGTTGTTGGGAAGAGTTCTAGTCAGCAAAGGGGATGGCTTCTATGGTGATGCTAGATAGTTTGGAGGTCTAAGCTCTTGGTCAGAGATGGAGGTCCTGTCCAATAAGGGGAATGTACAATTCGGTGCGTGAGAGTATGTTGATGTATCTGATGCCAGTTATGTGGATTCTTGTAATCACTTCTCTGGTGATGGAGCATATTATTCACAATCCACTCAGAAAAAAGATTTTTCTTCATCAACAGTCACAGTAGAGGTGGTGGTAAGGGAGGAATCATCATAGGGGAATGGTGTTTGGTAAGGGAAATGTGGAAGTGGGGGAGGTGGATGCAAAATTGGATGAGATGGTTTAGCATGTCAAGCACTGGAATGGAAAAGAAAGCTTGGGGGTTTTATGTAGATTAGAAGTAAGGAGGAAGGTTTCTAAGTTAAAGGAAGACGGTGTTCATAAAAGTTATTGTGTGGATAATGGGGAGTCAACAAGTATGTCTGATAAGATATCCAATTTGGATGTGGGAGAGGCATGGGTTGATCTAGTGTAAGGTAATTCTATGTTCAATATCAGTCATGTGGAGGGAGTAACGCTTGTTTAACAACTAAGAAACATTGATACTTCTAAAAAGGTGGTGTGTCTGTGTTGGACACTCGTCGGACGTTGAGACTCGTTGGATTCTTCCTGACACATTTTAGACATTTCTAGCTTGGGGTGTTGATGTAGAGGTTAGGGGGCTGGTTTTTGAGTTAGGGGAAGACGGTGTTCATAAACATTCTTGTGTGGATAATGGGTAGTCAATAATGATGTCTCAGAAGGTATCCAACTTGGATGTTGGGGAGGCATGGTTTAAAGTAATTCTATTTTCAATATCACTCATGGGGAGGGAGCAAAGTTTAACAACTTAGAAGCACATATACTTCTAAAAGGTGGTGGGTTTTTCTCTGACACCAACATTCGTTGGACACTTCAAACGTGTCTTATTATTTTTAACAAAATTTAAATCTAGACACGTGTCAATTACTTAGACATACAGGAAACAAATGTTGATTTATATCCAATTATAAAAAAAATGTCGATTTATATCTAGTAATTTCTACTTTAAACTTTAAAAATTGTATGATTTTGTAATTTGAGTGTGTTTCACACATGTTATGTTCAATTTTTAAAAATTGCCTTGTCAGCCTTTCCATCTTTGTGTTAGTGCTTCTTAGGTCAGCTAGGAGGAAGGATTGATGGATATTAGTTGTGTGTGAATTTTCAATTTTTTTAGGGTTATACCAAGGATCAACTTTAAGTCTTTATCTTTTTGCTTTAGTTATGGATGAGTTGACGCCATCAAAAGGTGTGCCGTGGAGGGGAGTCAGAGTTGTGAAATGGGGCTAGGAATTGGGGAGGATGTTGTTTCAAGGGGTTCTCATTTTGAAGTTTCATTTGAATTTGACAATAATGATTCCTTATTTCTCAAGAAAACAAAGGAGTAGGTAATTGTTAGATGTTTTTAGAGGGTGTTTGGGAATTGACTTCCGTAGTGGCTTTTTGGCTTTCTACGAAAAGACGTGCAGAAAAGAAGAGACAATGATTTGACAGCTTGTAGTGACTTTTTGGTTAAAAACTCACCTTCCCAAACAAGGCTTTGCTCACTAGTAATAAGGGTGGTAGCTTGAGCCAATATGGAATCAAACAAGCGGCTAGGATGGTGATGAATTGAAAAGAGAGGGCTATAAGGTGGAAGATAAGTTTGATCGTTGTGGTAGTTTTTAAGTTAATGGACCAAATTTGTACAAGGATAAGAAAGAGAAGGGAAAGGGGAAAAAGTTCTCTTGGAAGCTGAAGGAGAAGTGTCTTGAACTTAAATTTGTTGTGGTTATTGGAAAGGCTTGAGGAGAAAAGTGGAAGTCAACGACAGAAGATACAAAACACCTTTTGTGAAATTGGCACAAGTTTGAATTTTATTTGAGGGTAGCTGATGTAATTGGTAATATATTTGGGGTTTTGTTCTATGATTGTACCTTTTTCTTAGGGATTCATATTGTTTCTTGTTTTATTTTATTTGGAACTTGTACCTGTTAAGCACATTCTCTAATGCAATTTCTTTGCTTCTGTTTAAAAAAAAAAAAACACTTGTACCCTTTTTGAATATGACCACTGAAGACTCGCTGGAATGCCTTGGGTTGGGTCAACTCTGTTGAGATTGTTTGTAAGCATGAAAGAAAAAACACAACCAAAGAGTCTAGGAACAAGAGAGAAAATAAGAGGAGCGCCGGGAAGAGACTCAAAAGGAGTCTTAAACTGAAGGATGCTAGAGGGCATCTAGTTCATGAGATAAGCAACAGTAAGGATGGTATTACCCCAAAAGGATTTGGTAACATTTATAGTGAACAAAAAAGAATAATAGTGAACAAAAAAGAATAAGCAACCTCAAAAAGCTGGTGATTTTTCCTGCGTAGCAGCTCCATTATGTTTAGGAGTACTAACACAAGAAGTTTGATAAAGAATGTCAGGCTTATTGAGCTAGACTCTAAAACATATTCCAGTTCCATTCTCACTTCAAATGATTTTGATTTTGGCATCAAATTGATTTGTTAAAAAACAAACTGATGTATATTATTGATTGATGTATTGTTACAAGATTGATTGATTTGTGTTATGTATTACAACTCCTATATATAGAAGAGAAGGTGGTAGTAGGTGTAGTGTAGTGGAGGTGGTAGGTGAAGTGGGTGCTAGTGGAGATGGTAGGTGGAGGAGCAAATTGGTAAATTCTAACATGATTAGCAACCATTTTATGAAAAGTTCTGAAGTAAAGTAAACCCAATACGAGGACAACAAGTAATAAAGGTGACTTTGGCAAGTCTTGAGGTGTGCCTTGCAGAGATCTTCTAGACTATTGTATTGTCATGTCTTTTATGCATGTATGTGGATTTCAAGAGGAATGACACAAGGATTTCAAGAGGAATGATATATTACCCACTCATACCCATGCAGTGTCTTCTAAAAATATTTCAAGCACTTTAAAGTGTCTCTTTTACCGGCTAATATAATATAGGACAAATTACACAAATAGTCCCTATAGTTTGGGGCTTGTGTCACTTTGGTCCCTGACTTTTCAATTGTGACACATTTGACCCTGAATTTTGAATCTTGTTCCAAATAAGGACAATTGAATATATAATTAGATTTTTCAAGGGTAAAATTGTCAATTTGATAAAATATAAATTAATTTGACAAAAATAAATGTCAAACAAATATTGTTGAATTTTAAAAATTATTTCTACCTGCTAAAAATAAAATTATGTAAAATTGATAAATCTTTTAGAGATTTATTTATTTTTTTTACCAAATTAATTTTTATTATGTGTTTGGATGATGATCCTGTAAAATTAATTTAAAAAAATTAATCATGTAATTTTTATTAATTTTACATAATTTTATCATTGGTGGATAAAAATAATTTTAAAAAAATTAAATATATTTTTTTGACATTTATTTTTGTCAAATTAGTTTGTATTTTATTAAATTGACGATTTTACCCTTGAAAAATCTAATGATATTTTCAATTGTCCTTATTTGGAACAAGATTCAAAATTCAAAGTCAAATGTGTCACAATTGAAAAGTCAGGGACTAAAGTGACACAAGTCCCAAACTATAAGGACTATTAGTGTAATTAACCCTATAAAATAAAGTTCCTCATGCACCTTGAGTCCATGAGTTTTTCCTGGTGTTGATAGTTCCCAGACCCAGTCCATTCCTCATTACTAGATTCCTTTTCTCAATCAATCCCGAAATAAAATGAGTTTGCATATCAAAATTTCTCAAAGATTGCTAGGCCAAGAGTATCTGGAAAGAAGCAAATAAGCCTCAAGAAGTTCATGAATCTTTTAAATGTTTAGCCTTGTATGGCAAAAAGGAGTGATGCTTACATCTATGATAATCATCTACCTTGGATTTGGGTCACAAAGACAAGCCAAGTTTGTTATTACAGAGGCTTCCTGTCCTGTTCTTTAAGCACTCAAACTGACACATTATTGAATTTTGAGTTGCATAAAAAGCTGAATACGGAGCATAACCCAAAAACATGGGTTTAAAGAACTTATACATACCGAGTTCTACAACTTTGGACAAGTTCTGTATGCAGTTGTACATATCATATTAATCTTTACATGTTTTTATGATTTTTTGTCTTGATTTGTTTTCAAGACTTGGCTTAAATATTAGCAACTTCATTTATTTTTCAGTATTTAGGTAAATAACATGCTTCATGGGCAGAAGAAGCCCAAACAAACTTTTCTCCTATTGAATATTTTTTGGGAATGCTTGGGAGCAAAAATGATCTTAACTCTTAGGTTTTGGAGGAGTGGCTACTCATAAGGCTCATTAGGGCAGGAGTCACTCGATGTGGGAAAAGCAACAAATTTTCTTTCTTTCGACCTTTTTAGGGAAAATAGGGATGGCAACAGGTTGGGGTTTTTAAGTTTGCGTGTGGATTCTTTATTTTAAACTCCACACTTCACCCTAACGCTAGTAGTTTTGACTTACCTTTAGACTCTGCCCTACCCTATCAATGCTCTCCCAAACCTTTTCTACTTGAATCAGGTTGGGTAAAAACAATCAGGTTGGGTAATCACATAAACTTGCACATGATGATGCCCAGGCCCTAGAAGTCCAAACCCACATGCTTTCTCTGAAAATGTTTTGGGGAATGATCGAAATTTATAGGGCTCACTAGGATGGGACACAAACCAGATGTTTCTTTCTTTTGATCTTTAGAAACTGACTCTCACACACTGGGGCCTGAGAACCCCAAAACCACACTTTCTTCATAAAGGCGTAACTTTAGGAGTGATGAAGACTTTTGAGGTAGAAACATCAAATTGATGGATGTTACCTTATCAACAGTATATCAATTACTTCTACTTGAGTTATGCAACCACTAATTTTTGTGCATCGTTGTATACTTAATGACCCTGTTTCATATTTATCTAGGACTCATTCTTTATGTATATATTTTTCTGTATAATCGCCACTAGGAAAGTGTGCGAATCGGTTGCTTGCTTCATCAGGCTTACCACTTATTGCAAGACAAATGAAGGTACATCAAGAACCTTTTGTTTGTGTATATGAATTGTGGTATTTATTTATTTATGTCCTCATGTGTGTTTAGGATCAAAGATTTATTTTGGGAATTTGACAGTGTTGCAGGTGAATACTATACTGTTCCGGGATAATTATTATTTAGTGAGTTGTAGGATTTGAGAAGGGGCGGGGGGGGGAAAATGAAAAAAGAAAGTTTTTAGTTTAAAATGTGATAAAGAGTCAGGTAAAAGATTAAAATATAAAAAGTGATTAATATATTATTTCTACTTCAAATCATTGAGTATAAAAGAGTAACATATTTTATAAAAACTAATTGTATATTTATATTATTTTTTTGGTACATTATGTACCATGAAGTATTACAAAAAGTGGTATGTTTTTAAAAGTACTAGTATATTTTGTAAAAAATGATAAAACGTAGTTCATAAGTAACTAATTTATTTAGGAATAATTGAATTTTTCATTATTTTATTAAATGATTCCTATAAATCTAGAATATTTGATAAATTAATAATATTTATATCGATACTTCTGGAACGATACACCGAACCAACGACAAAAATGATACACTGGCCAGCATGATATTTTTTATTTTTTGGATAAATGATACACTGACCAGTATGATATTAACAATCATTGGTATTTTGAAGGATTATTCATTGGGCTTCAAAAAAGGAAGGCTGATTTTATTTAATTTAGCATATCTAAGTTTTAAAGCTTTCTAGTAAATGATTATGTGTGGCATCAGGTTGGGATTGTGTCTTTTCCCCCCTTCTTTTTCTATTGTAATGCATTTATTTTAGTGGATATAGGTTTTCTTTAGATACAAGAAGTTTCTGTATCACTTGAGGGGTCAAACAAGGTTAAAATCTATATAAATCTGCTATATTTATTTATTTATCAAAAAAAAAAAAAAAAATTCTATATAAATCTGCTGTATTAGAAGATTTGTGAATGGTTTGGAGAGAGCAGAAGTCAGGTTATATTTTCCCTTTTGAGTTTTTATATTCTACCTTCTGAAGGTTTCTTTTAGAACCCAAAGCTCGTGGATTTGAAATAGCAGATTTCTGAATGTCAGATTCTTTGCATGTTCCTGGTAGTTTACTTGGGCCAGCTTTCCATTGTAGTTGGCGGAGACATCGACTGGCTACATCAATTTTGGTGTCACAGCATCAAGATATGTTGAATATGTTTTTTCTTTTGCCTCTCTTCAACATGGTGACTAATGTTAACATGACGCAAAAATTCAAAATCAAGATTGAAAGATTGAACCCATCTTGAATGTGGGGTAGTAGATCTATGAAAAAAACATGGTAATTTTTTGTTTTCACAAGTGAGCTGTGTACACTTTTGAGAGAAGTTCTTCAGGAAGATTATATTGAAACTTATCATGCAGAGCAACAAGGTACTATTAAATAAACACCTTTTTGTGATTTATGTACGTGAGAACAATATAAATGAACAAAATGAACATAACACCATACCTAGGGATGTCAAGACACTAGATGTGAGCTCAATTGATTTCCATCTTCTAGAGAAGTCAATGACCCTTTTATGTCAATGAGTGCATAAGCTATTGACTTGATTACCCCAAAAAAATTGACAAATCAATTTACAAGACAAATCAACCAATCTATTGACTAATGTTGAACATGATCCAAGAATTCAAAATCATGGTTAAAAGATTGAACATCTTGAATGTTGGGTTGTACATCCACAAAAAGAACATGGTACTTGCTTGTGAAGAATCAAAGTTATTCTTCATGTACTTACAAAGTTTTGTGTGTGAAGATTATAGCTAAACTCTCATGCAGAGTAGCAAGGTGCTATCAAAGAAACACCTTTTGTGCTTTGTGTACGTAAAAACAATATAAATGAACATGATGAAGATAACACCATACCTAGTGATGCCAATGTGACAAAGGAGAGAGCAAAAAGAGATATACGTATATTGAATAAATAGTGGAAAGGCATCGGTACAATAAAATTAGGTAAAAGCTAAAACCCTATAGTTCTAATTATAATCTACCCTTAAGTGTAATATAAAATAACAAGAATATGAAATAAACATCTTATCTTTAACATCCCTCCTCAAACTAAGGATGCGACTGCAGAAAGTATTGAAAGTTTGCCAAGAAAAAAACGAAAGCGAGCAGTAATGTGAGTTTTGTAAAGAAATTGGCCAACTGGAGAGAAGAGGGAAAAAAGGGAAGAGTAATAGTGCCAGCTTGAAGATGCTGTCGAAGAAAGTGACAATCTATCTCAATATGCTTCCTACGCTCATGGAAAACTAAGTTATAAGCAATCTAAACAACACTCTGATTGTCACAATATAAAGGAGTCGGGGAAGAGAGTGAAATACCCATATCAAAAAGAAGCCAACAAAGCCAAACTATCTCAGAAGTAGCTGAGCAATAGCACGATATTCACAATCAACGGTGGAGCAACCAACAGACTGTTTTTTACTTTTCCAAGAGATGAGAGAATTGCCTAGAAAAACACAAAGGCCGGAGGTAGATCTGTGATCGGAGATATCATTGGCCCAATTAGCACCAACAACAAACCAGAGCAACAAAAGGAAAGATGAAGAGAGCAGTGAGAACTGAAGCACTTACTGAAGTTGAATGGTCTAGGGATTGAACCTGCTCTAGTCTAATGGTTCAGGGAATGAACCTTTTTCAGTCAAATGTTTCAAAGAAGAACCCACAAACAATGGTCTGCAACAAACGAGAGAGAGACCTCTGTGAGACGAGAAGATGGACTCTTGCGAAGAGAGAGAGCACTTGTGAAGGCTTGCAAAGAGGATGTGATGGCCTGTGAATGCAGAAGACGAAGTGTAAAAGCTAGGTCAGCGGCCGTTTGTATGTCTCTGATATCATGTTATATGGTCTTGGGTATAACTCAACCCCAAAAGCTAGCTATTGAGGTGAGGGTGCCCTTATGCTTATGTGCTTAACATTACTTTAGTACTTGAGCGATGTGAGACTTCGCTTTACACCCTTGCTCATGCCCAGTTGTGGCGTGCAGTCCAGGGACACACACCCTACCCATTTCCAAGTACTCCTGCTCTAATACCATGTAACAAAGAAGAGAGCAAAAATATATACATATATTGAATAAATAATGCAAAGGCAACTGTACAATATAAATAGGTAAAAGCCAATAACTCTAAAGTCCTATTTATAGAGACAAAAATTAATCTACCCTTAAGTGTAATCTAAAATAACAAGAATATAAAATACCCATCTTATCTTTCACAGTCAAGAAATGTGAGGTTGATTGATTTTTATCTTCTAGAAAAGTCAATGAATTTTCATATCAAAGAGTGTGTGATCTATTGACTTTATTTAAAGCGCTGTTACTATTAGCGCTTTCAGGTAATGATCGCGCGATTTGGAAACACGCTTTTAACAGAAAGCCGTTATGAAATGGCCCACCCCCCCTTATTTGCAACTATGCTTTCTACCTCCTCTCTTTCTTTTCCCCCAAAACCCTAACCAGAGGCAACCTTCCTCCCTCTCTCTGTCGCTCTCTGCGCTCTCTCTCTCTGGGTCGCTTATAGTCACTCTCTCTCTCTCTGTCGCTCTCTGCTTTCTCTCTCTCTGGGTTGCTCACAGTGACTCTCCCTCTCTGTCGCTCGCTGCACCTTCCTCCCTTTCTTTGAGCTCGTCTCTCTCGTAGGTATGTTGGCACTCTCTCTCTCTCTCTCAGTTTGAATTTTATTTATGTTGATTTTGTTTGTGAAAATGCGAATGTGTGTAGAATAGTGGGGGAGGAAGTTTGGAAGATACCAATGTGGGTTGCGGCTAGGGTTCTGTGAATTCAAATTGGGGTTTTGAGAGGGTTAGGGATAGGGTTCTGTGAATTCAATCCAGTGGTACATAGCTTTTGCCAAAGTGATGATCAATTTTTTCCAAAGGAATGAGAATTCAATCCAGTGGTACCCTATTTTTTTGAGATGTATTGTAAAAATTTTCTCAATTATTTATATATTATATATTTTTTTTCAAATGTTTGCATCGCTTATAATGTATTTTGAATAATGATATTGCTATGTGATATTATCATTTCTTCCAATATTTTATACTCCAATATTTTGCTTGATTATAACAAAGGCCTAGAGAGATTCAAGTGCCATTTTTTGGGGTATTGTCCCAGCAAATACTAGAGTTTTTCTTAACTCACAAATGAACATAAATTAAGAGATCAAATCCCTTAATTACGGACATACATTGTCTTAGCCCGTAAGTAGCATTTGATTTTTCCTTTTGATAACTTTGAAAGTTTGGAAATAATTGGGCTTATTAATTTTATTGTCTGTGCTGTATAAGTTGTTGAACCGTAAATTTCATAGGTTTGCGTGTATTTAAATTATTCTTTTTGGGGTGCTACAGGACATCAAATCTTGTCTTGACTCATTAATTATTTAGGTTTACTTAAAAAATTCTTTTTAAGTAATCATTATTATTTATTAAGACATGCACAAAATGGATGAACAAATCAAATGACATTAACATTTGATATGTTATTACATGTAATCTAAATTAATTTTTTGAGAAATCGATACACAAATTCTGAAAATTGTACAAACAAACTTGTTAGTCACCAGGAAGATCGGCGAATCAGTGAAATGAAATCTAAAAATTCCATAAACCAAACATTATGTAGAAAACAAGAATCAAATTAATAAAATGTAACAATCTGTATATATAATTTCACTTTCACTAAACTTGAAACACACTTGTGTATATATAATTTAGACACACACATCACACTTATATTGCAATAACAAAGTATTAATCACAAACTAATCAATCCAATGTTATTGTAATAAAACCAATGCATTTGATTTGAAGAATAAACCAAAAAATAAAAAAAAACAAAAACCACACTCACAAACATCTAAACACATAAAAAGAAGATCAAATTGACTCATTTCAGTAAACCCAAAACATGCGTAAGAATAATGAGTTAATATTGTTCATTAATAATATTATTTAATGAGTTAATTAACAATATGAAATAATATTAACTCATTAATATTATTGTTGATATTATTAATATTGTTAATTAACGCGTAAG